CATATATATATATATATATATATATATATATATATATATATATATATATATATATATATATATATATATATATATATATGCGTGCGCACACATATTTATAATAATAATCTATGTATACTTATTTAAAAAAAAAAAAAAAAAACAAGAAAATTATTATTATTATTATTCTAAATGGCATTTTCCATTCGTTAAAATTATCATGAACAAAAAAAAAACAGGTCGTGACGTAATGCACGCCTTAAATACATCAACTATGCTATTTTTATAACTTTAATTATCTATATATATATTTATTATTATTAGTATTGTTACGGGGGGGGGGGGGGAAGTTAAAATGAAAAAGCCAAAGTTAATAAATAAAGAATAAATAATAATAAAATTTGTGCTTATTTCGTAACAAGTGAAAAATAAATAAATTAATAAATAATTAAATAAATAAATAAAACTTTGGTTTTAAAAAAATAAAAAAAAAAATTAAATAAATAAAATGCCATTTTTTTCGCAAAAAAAAAAAGATTATTTTTCAAATAAAATTTTAATCGTGGCACAAAACGATTTTGTTTTTCAAATAATGAATAAGTAAATAAATAAATAAATAAATTTTCGATTTTCTAATGACACGAAAAATCCAACAAATCGCGTTACGAAAAAAAAAAATATCTTTATAGGAATTTGTTCGTTTTTTTTTTTTTTTTTTTTAAATTTCAAAACGGCGATTTTTTTTTTTTTTTTTTTAAAATTTATTTACTCATACGTGGCATGCACGTGCACGACGGGTAGGGGGTTATTACCCCAACATCGTTGAAAAATTCAATTCATTAATTTTTTTTTTTTTTTTTAAAATATTCCCTCTAGAAAACAATTTACTACGACGACGACAACGAATATATTTGTGACAAATGTTTAAACACAATTATTCGTTGGGCAAATATTTTTTAGAGCAAATAATGTAAATAAATAACAATTTAAATAAATAAATAAATAAGTAATAATAATAATAATAATAATAATACTTGAGTTAATAATTTAAAAAATAAATAAATAATTTTTCCTCGTTTGGAAATTTTTTGTATGTGTGTTTGTGGATGATGTTTCCGCTTCATCTCACATGATTTACGCGAATTCGAAGACGGTGAAAAAATTTATGAGAGAGAGAGAGAGAGAGGGCGGGGGAGGGGAAGGGGAGGTAGTAACGGAAAAGAAAGGGAAAAGAAAGAGAGAGAAAGAAAATGAAAGAGAAAAAAAATGGAAGGAAAAAGAAAACAATTTCAAACCACAGTTAGTTTGAATGTGTGTGTGTGTGTGTGCGCGAAAGAGTGAGAAAATTTTTTGTTTGTTTGTATGCGGATGTATGCGAAAACAAACACCACAAGTTAAAACACAAACATCCAAATCTTTTTCAATTCTTCAAAACAAACGATTGTCGGTTGTTATTCGACTTTAAAATAATTAAAGCGAATCGAAATTCGAAATGTCGCTCCCCTGCAAAAAAAAAAAAAAAAAAAAACAAATATATAATCCGATTATGACGTCATAAATTTTTTAAAAAACGTGTCGATAGAAAACTTAATTAATTAATTAACTCACCCTATCCGGTTCCGGTTTGAACAATTGCGATTCGGGCATTATAAATGTTGACCCTAAATCTCTTTCGATCATCGTGTGCCCTTCCTGAAACACAAAACATTTTATTATTATTATTATTATTATTATTATTATTATTATTATTATTATTATTATCATGTTACAATCGAATTACAAAAATCGTTTTTAATTGAAAAAAATATCGATTAGAAAACATGATTGATCGTTTCGGAATATTTTCCTAGTTCCACGTTTTTTTTTTTTTTTTTTTTTTTTAAGTCACGTTTGCGACCTTGTTGTTAAATAAATTTATTCGAAGAGTTTTACAATTAATCGTGGAATTAGAATTGGCAAAAATGTCGATCTTAACCTCGATATATAATCCGAATTCTTTCGTTCGTCCGCACCTAATTTTTAAATCAATAATAATAATAATAATAATAATGAAAAGTTTGTTGTTTTTGTTGATGTCTTACGTCATTGTTTGCTCGAGACGATGGACTACTTCCGGAATAATTTGTGTTTAACGACCTAGTCTGAGGATGTACCGTTGTTTCGTCGTAAGACCTCGCTTCCGACATTGTTTTGTGATCTCCCGTTCTGTTAAGCGTTGTAAATTGCGAACGGTTGCTTTTCATCGTGAGCGTGTTCAATATGGCGGAATTTCCATCTTCCGTTCCTTCCTCTTCTTCCGATTGATTATGATTGTGCATACCTACTTTTGCCGAAACTTCATATCCGGCCGAAACCAAAGCTCCTGTGGGGTGGGAAAAAGAAAGAAAGATTGAAAGATGGTTTTTTTTGGGGGGGGAGGAGAGAACGTGAAAAAAAAATTTTTTTCCATACCGGCTGAATATTTTCTAAATTGTAACGTTCTGTTGTTGTCCGTGTGAAGATGAGTCGAATCGGAATGTCTTCTGAATCTGTCGTCGATGCTTTTACCGGATCTCCTGTCGGCGCTGTTTGTTTCATCTGAAAAAACCATGTTGGATATTTTATATTCGTATTCGAATATTTTGGATTCGGTTTTTTTATCTCCTCCTGACGTCATCATTCTAGAAGGTTCGTTGACTTGTGCTATCAAAGTGGTCTTGTAATCGTACGTTTTATGTTGATCTCCGCTCTCTTGTCTGTTGATTTGATTTTTACTCACGACTGAAAATTTAAAATAAAAAAAAAATAATAATAATAATAATTTTTGAATTGTCGTAAAAATTACAATTTTGTCGCACAAACGTTAATTTTTTAATAAATTACCAATTTTTTCTTCTTTTGTATTTCCGTCGAGATAACTTATCAATTTTTGTTCCGTTGCAATCGTACCCCCTCCTACGGGTTTAGGCAAATGTTTTTCCGGTGAAAATGTCGACATTGTCATGTGAGGAGAAAGAGGAGGAACCGGTCTGTATTTGGCTCTAGGTATCATAACCGTCACAGACCTGATGAAAATTTTTTATAAAAAAAAAAAAATTGAGGTCGATTTAATTTTTATATATCATTTGAAAAAAAAAAAAAAAAAAATGTCTGTCAGGTACCTTTCTCTTTGGTCGAGTGGTGGCGGTGGTCCCATTGGTGGTGGTAATGTTTTCGTCATGGGTCCTTTTACTTGTCTCAACATGGCTTTTTTCTTCGATATCATTGTTGGTGGCATGGGTATTATCGGCGGCGGCGGATTCAAATACGGTATGTTATCCAAACTAGATTCCGACGATGAATCTCCTATCATAGCACGCCTGTCGATCGAATGACTAGAAGGTCCTCTGTACCTCAAATAACCTTAAACGATAATAATAATAATAATAATAATAATAATTTTTAAATTATTCGAATGTACCGTGTGTAAAAAAAAAAAAAAATTTCGTAATGTTAAGGTTTACCGCTGCTCCTGTTGGCGGATGAATTTTTATTTCCTTTGTTGAGACACGTTAAAACCGCACAAACCAATAAGAGAGCCAATAAAATGGCTCCTATTGTCACAAGGGCAATGAGTAAAACTTTTAAATTTATATTGCATCTTTCTCCGGAATACCATTGAAAACATTCGCAAGTCATTTGACCTTCACCTTTCGGATAGCAGGCACCGTGATAACCGCAATATTCGCAACCGATCGTGTCTGAAAATACAATAATTTTTTAATCGAACGTTTCGCAACGGACATTTTGTTTTTTTTTTTTTTCGTTTTGTTATCGTACCCGAGCAAAGACGTCCCGGAAAGAGTGAATTTTCAGAAACGTCAGTATAACCCTCTTTGCAACTACACGTGTAAGTTCCTTTGAGGTTAAAACATCTTGCGTGTTCGGAACAATCGTGATATTTTGGATTTAAACACTCGTTGAAATCTGAAAACAAACGGAAACGATCGTATCCGAGTTAAGAAGTGGGAAAAAAGAGGAAAAAAGATGGCGGAAAAACATACCTTCGGCATCTAAATTATCACCTTCCCTCGCGGCGAAAAGTTCAGTGCCACCCAAGCTATAGTTACTCGTTTGCAACGTGTTCTTAAATATGCCCATCAATTTCTTTTCGTCCGTGTTTTCGGAAAGTTGCACGTAAAAATTGACCATTGCTTTTTTTTCTTTTTCCTGTAACAATAATAATAAAAATAACAATTGTAACAAACAGATGACGGGCTGTCGCGTATGACGTAACTGAAACCCCCTTAAACTGATGTGATGACGTAACTGAAGTCCCCTTAAAGCCGCCTGGGTGTGTATACTGTGTGCGTGCAACGACGACAGAAAAAAAACGGGGAAATGGCGATTTCGAGCGTGAAAAAATTTCATTAGTCTTAAGAATTTAAAAAGTGAAAAGTTAAAATGGTTTTTTCCGTTTTTATTTAACTGTGTCATCATCATCATCATCATCATCATCGTTAAAATAAAAAATTTTTTAACGGCTTTCTTCGAACCTGTTTTCACATTGACCTCTCATGTTACCTTATTCAAAATATTTTTTTTTTTTTTTTTCGCGCCAAAGGGCTAAATAATACCTGAAAACCGTTTACAATCACGCCGTGATAAACATCTCTTAATTCGCTTTGCATGATCATCCTGTCCAAACCTTCCTTTGTGACGGTCATGAGTTTAGACATGTCTGCGGAATTTGTTTGCGCGACATTTTTTTCGTAATTTATTTTTTCCGTACCGAGTTTATCCAGAGCTAATTTGACTTTGTACGTGTAAGTTGCTGGAAAAAAAAAATGAAAAAATTTTTTTGTTTGTTTGGTTGTTTGCTTGCTTGCTTTCGTCGAAATTTTTCGATGAAAGTTGTAATATTATTATTATTATTTTATTTAAATTAAATGTCGAAGGCGGTTTTTTTTTTTTTCATTAGGTCAAAACGAGTTTTTTTTTTTTTTTTTTTTTTTTTTTTTTAAAAAAAAAACTTGAATTTAATTATGATTAAAATTTACTTACGTCCACAAGGCCTGTCCGGGAACATTCTAGCAAATCCAGGTCGACAAACGCATTTTAATACACCTTTGATTCTTTGACACAATTCGTTTTTAGTGGGTTTGCATTTTGGAAAACATTCATCCACTTTGCTTATGTCCGTAAATTCTTTGTTAACGTTCGCGTTAAATATTCCACCGACGAGAACTCTGGAATGGGACACGTCATTTTCTTCGTCGCTTATCTCCGAGGCATCATCATCGTCATCATGATCGTCGCCATCATCGCCATTATCGGATGCGTGGTCGGATTTGGAGGGTTGTTCGTTCGATACGACGACCATGATGGAATCGTCACCGGTTTGATCGTTTTGTTCCGTGTTGTTGTTGTTGTTGTTGTTGTACTTGTTGAAAGAAGATGATACGGATATGGTCATAGTGTCTTTAGCATGTGGGTCGGCAACGAAAATCTCTGGTTTTAACGTTCCTCCCGCGGGATATTTATTTTGCGGAGGATATAAACCAGTCGGAACGACGAGAGTTGTTTTGGTTGTTGCGATTGTATGGGTTTGAATCAACGTCGACGTTGTCGGTTTGACTAATGTTTTAGTTTCCGTGATCTTATTAAAAACGGTCGATATTAAAGTTTTAGTCAAAACGACCGTTTTCGTGAGAGGTTTATGACCCAAACTATGCACCACCGTCGTCATCGTCGTCGTGACGGTTAAGGTGGTCGTTCGAGTGGGTATGATTACCGGTGCGACAACAATTTCCGTCGATTGTTTATCATTTTTATTATTATCGATTTTCTTATTGGCAGAACCCTCGCTTTTTCTAATTCCTGGCGAAACATTGTATTTGGTTTCCAAGATGAGATTCGGTTTCGGAGTGTACAATTCACCGAATATGGTCGTCGATCCCGAGCTTAATATCGACGTGACAATATTTTTTTTGTTTGTAACACTTTTTATCGTCGGAGTTCCGTGACTGCTAAAGTGATCCACGTCGAAAATTGTTTCCGAACCAGTAATTATGTCGGTGTTATGCCAATCAGAGTACGGTTCAGTAGCCGTCGGAATGACTGACGTACTAACTCTCGTCTTATAAGTTTTCGTGACCGAAATTGTTGACGTCGGAGATATGACGAGGTCGTCTGTCGTCGGTGACACCGTCGTGCTGTCTTTATTTCGATGTATCGTCGAATGAGGTTTTTGTTTCGTGTTGATTTCCTCATGATCGATCGTCGAAATCGACGAAACGTTATTAATTTTACTCAAGTTGTTGACCGATGGTGGTGGGCGTCGAACGGTAGATGGCAATTGATCATTATCGATCGGTTTAGAATGACCGTTTATTTCAGATTCTGCAAAATATGGCTCTCCTTCGTGTTCTACTTCTTCTTCGCTCGCGGTTATCGTTGTATTTTGCGGAGTTGGAGTCGGCACGCCGATAGATAAATCATCGATAGGTTTCAGGGAGGGTTTAGGCGTTTTGGGCGTTGTTCGAATCGGATAATCCGGTACGTGATGAATAAAATCATCGGGTAATCTCGGAGGAAATATATCTTGCGGATTAACCGGTTTCCTATTGAAATTCGGAGAACGAACCGGTGGGAAGTCAGCATCCATGGCGATCGGTGACAAAATGGTTTTTGTAGTGGTCGGTATTTCAAATTTGTGACCGGGTTTCGGACGTTGCGGTCTGTGAGGTCTCAACGGTCGTCTCGGACGTTCAATAGGGGGAGGAGACAAACCCATGACTTCTTCTACTTTCTTATTATTTTCCGGTGCTTTGGGAGGCGTCATGAGTGTCATTTGAATATCCGACGGAACTCCCATCATCGGATTAATCGAACTGCTCAAATTGTATTGATTATCGCCGTTGAGCAATAATTGATTTATCGCCGAAGGAATCGATACGTTGTAATCGTAACCGTATCGATTATTATTATTGTGATGAAAATTACCTCCGAACCATTTATTGGCATCGTTGCCATTTTGAATTTCGGTTACGTCATAATTCGGTTTATATTCGAAAAAATTTATTGTTTTGTTACCGTATTGATCTGTTTGGTATTTTTGAACGTTGGTAATATTTGTACGTATACCAGAATGGCCTTTCACTGGTACACCGACGGAAGGTTTAACATTTTCAGTTTCTTTACTTTCGTTTGTGATTTTATTCTGACCGGAAACATCCGCGGGTATTTTGATTTTATTTACATTTCCGGGTTTCGTAAAATCGAGAGGTCGTTTTCCGTGTACGTTATTATTGTTACTTTGATCGAATAATTCCTGGGAGTTCGAATCCGCGGCGGCGTGTGCAGGTACATTCGTAATCGTCGGATAACCGACGACGACTTTATTTCTATTATTTTGTGACGTAGCAGAATGACCGAAATTTTTAAAAGGCCTTTGATTTTCAGGACTCGCGAAAGGTTTCGAATGATTTTGTTGTTGCGTTTGCGTTCTTTTCGACGAATCGTATTTTTCACTTGGGTTGTTTGAATGACCTTTTGACCCGTTCAACGATTCCTCGTTAGGTTTGTGAACTTTTATCTTATTGCCGTAGATGTTCGATTCTAGACTTTGACCGACGACTGATTCAGTTTGCGATGATGATCCCAATGAGTCCTTTGATGGATTTTTCAAATTTTGTTCTGGTGTCGATTTAACTCCGTCTTGCACCGAACCGTATGGAAATAATTCTTGATTTATGTACTGCGGTCTGACGCCGAAAACGTTACCATTTTTAACGTGATTCGACGTGTGAACGTTCGGCGGGTTCAATTGATAATTAACGCTCGCGTTCGAATCGTCAAATAAAACATTTAATTTGATCGGTTTTATTTCCGTCGGTATTTTACCGCCTGAACTTTTTGTCGGATTTTTAACGGATTCTTCTTCTTGATTTTTCAAATGAAGGTTCGCGTTTGAATTTTCACTTTCACTCACGGACGAGTAAAATTCTTTATGATTTTTAAAATTATTATTATTAATATTATTATTATTATTATTATTGTGAATCGAAGGGTTTCGGATTAAATAATTTTCGTAAGAATTCGCTGGATAATCTCCGGGTTTAAATAATTCATTTTGTTCGGTTTTGTTTTTAATTATCGGTCCGTGATTATAAAATGGCGGCGCATTCGAAACGTTTTTCAAATTATACGAATGATGATATTTCGTTTCTGATTTCACGTGAGTTTTATCACTGTCGGATTGGGAAACGTGTGAGTCGTGCTGCTTCTGCTGCTGAGTTTGAATTACTTTACCGGGTAAAAAGTTTGGCGGTAACAAATGACTTCCGGTCGAGTGAGATTGATTCGAATTTTTATTGAATTGTGAGTAATCCGTCGGATATTGATTTGGAAGTTGTGTCGGCCTTGAAAACGATTCGCGTTCGTCCGAATTATCCGTTCTGTAGGGTTCGTTCGTGTCACTAGCATCCAAATCGTAGTAAACGACAGTCATTGGTGAAATTTGATGTTGGTCCTGCTGCAGCTGTTGTTGCTGTTGTTGTTGCTGCTGCTGTTGGGTTTTGATTTGATTAATAAAACCATTTTCCGAATATTCAACGCGATTTTTATTTGGCAAGATGACCATTTCGTCGGGTCTAGGATGTGGATAGTTTTGAATAGGAGCATTAGCACCCACGGGAATCACAGGTCTCGCGTGCGGTTCTATAACTCCGTGAGGTTTGTTGGGTTTGTGACGGACGGGAGTTTTCGGTGGCGGTACCATAAATTCAAGAGGAGTCGGTAAATTTTTATGCGGCAAATGAGGATACCTCTGTTGAGAATTTTGTACTTGATGGGGTGTCATGAACATGGGCCTGTGTGGCAAAGGAGGAGGCGAAAGATCGTTGGTAAAATCGTTCGGATGACCCTTGTTAAAATTTTGACCTTGATTTTGAACAGTTTTTGAATTTTGAGTCTTTAAATTCTCTTTCTCCTCCGTGTAACTCATCAATATATCTTTCAACGGATTCGTTTCTTTCCTTTGAGAAGAACCTTTTACATTTTGTCCAGAAATCTTGTTGGGAATATCTTGAGAAGTTGTCTTATTTTGATAATTTGATGAAGTTGTAAATAAATCACTTCCTGAATGAGAAATCGTACCGGGTTGACCGGGTGAATGATTGACGAATGACGTTCCAACGAGAATTTCTCCCCCGTTCAAATTTTGACCGTAATTATAATTTATTTGGGGAGCGTACAAACCATTCGGAGGCAACGGATACAATGTTCCTCCATTAAAATTTTGTATTTGTTTTAAATATTTTTCATCGAAATTATGATTGGACCCTAGAGTGGCGTGAACGTTTGACACGCCGCCATTGATACCAGGTTCCTGTTGGTGAGGATTGTAAACGTTTTGAATTTCCCCGCTTTGTTGTTGATGTTTCGTCAATTCGGATGACCCGAACCTGATATTTTCATTTGTCGATTTCACGTCGTTGTTTTGTAGTTTATGTGGATGATCGCGTCCAGGCAAAACTTCACTTTCAACTTTTTGTTTTAGTTTATATTGATCTTTAAACGATGATGTGCTGCTACCACTCAACGGAGAAACCGGTTGTTGATTAAAACTTCCGGTGAAAACGTTCGAAATCGATTGATGATTTTGACTGAATTGATTTAAATAAGAATTTTGTAGAGTTGAATATGCCTGATCCGAATTTTGTACCAGTTTTGAATTTGTGGTCAAAAGCAAGTTACCGATTTGACTCGTTTGCGGTACTTGAACGCTTCCAGCTGATAATGCTTCGTTGGAGTGAATCTGAGACGATATATCATCGTTTTCGAGTTTTAATACGGGTTCAGAACCGACAAAACCGACGGTTTCGGGTTCCGGATGAGGAGAAGGATCATCAATTACTTCTCCTTTTAACGCATGCTGTTTTTCACCGCCGACAATGACAGCCGTTGAACTTCCGTGAGGTATTACGATGTTGGCCACTTGAGACGGTTGAATGTTAACCAAAAATGGTCGATTCGTCGAACGATCCACAACGTTATTTTCATTACTCTCTAAAACGTCACCAACAGTCGGCACTAGTAACACACCATCGGGATTGATAACGTTTAACGTGGGAGTAGATTGTAATATCGGTACGGGTACCGGTTGATTTATTATCGGTATCGCCGGAACTGCTATCAACGGAGGGTTTAAATTGGCTGCAGATAAGTGGGGTTCGATCAATGGTCCAGGAGGAGGGATGACATTTGGCGTTTTGTGAGGAATGGGTTTTTTAGGAGGCTTGTGATTATTATTCAAATGAGGTCGGTGGTGGACACCGCGATTCGGAGGAGGTACCGGGGGCGGTGGTACAGGTGGTGGATTCAAATCAATCGTTCCCGAATCGTATTTCACGTTAGCACCGGATCCCACACCCTGAGAATTTTTATGATGGGTGCTGATTTTTTGACGTTCGTTCGAACTAAGACGCGAATTTTTAAAATTTTGATTATGAACTTTTGATAATGATAATGATGATGATACATGAGACGACGGCGGCGGTTTAACGTTTAACGCTCCATTTTTATAACTCAGATTGACGCCTTTGTTCGTGCTGTGCTGTCCGATAAAATGATCTTCTTCGGAGGCGGCAAATAAATTGGGAGGAACCGGCGGGGGTTTCATATCAACCGGTATATTGTTTTTCAGAGCAAAAGTTGGCGGTCTCGGACCCGATTCACCCGGTCTCCCTATGATAACATCGGAATTGGTCGTTATGACTTGTCCGGGACTTATGGGTATTCCACCTTCCAGTAAATTAATCGGATTATCGTGGGTTCGAATTTTTTCAAAATTTTTAGCGTGAATGTTTTTCCATTTTTCGTGCCAGTTTTCCGGTTCATTGGCTATCAGTACTCGTCTGTTTTGATTTTCAACAAATTTAGAGTCCTGACCGAAGCTACCCACAGGGATGTATACGGGAGTTCTCGGAGTCGTAAATCTCGGCTTGGGTTCCAACGAGGGTTTACTCGTCGTTCCCGACGTAAATTTATTGACAAATTTAAGAAGAGGATTGACGTTATTGCTCACGGATTGTTTGTCGACAAACAATCCGTTGTCATTTTTAATCGTATCGTTTTTCTTATTTGCCGAATGTGAATTTTTATTCAAGTTGTTTTGTATCAATTCCGCCATTGCATTAATAACCGGTTTCAAAACGTTTAAAGTGATTAATCCGCCATTATTATTATTAGTCATATTCGAAGTCGATTGCGTCATCGTTTCCTCTTTTTTTTGATCATTCGAAATCGAATTGAACTCTTCGTCTTTTTCACCTTTTGTCTCTTGATCATTTACCGAAGATGCGGTTGAGTCGGTGTCGTAACTTTCTTCTGCATTCGCCGAATTCTTTTCTTTATTTTCGTGATCGTTCTGACTTGTGGTGAAGTGAGAAACGGAAGGTGTTTCCGTAGGCGTCAACAACGTACTCGTTGGTGTGATCGCCATCGTATCCCTTTCTCCTTCGTCGACCAAAAGTTCAGCAACGGGAATGTTGGACGACGACGAACTCTTTGACGATTTCAACAAAGTTATTTTAGTTTTAGTTCCCGACGAACTACTCGGTCTAAGGGTGAATTCCGTTTTGGATGATTCATTATCTTGTTTGTTATCGTGATGATGCCATTTTGTTTTTAATTCGCCGTCGTGCATGATAGTTTTTGTGATTTTGATTTCCGGTTTTTTCAACGTTGAGGATTCTTTCGCGTGCGGACTTTTGTATGCCGTTATGACGATCGTGTCGCCTTTTAAAAGCGTTGCCGTCGCCACAATCGAACCGGTTATTTCGCGCAGAGAACTCGTTAACGCGTTTAAATCTTTCGAACTGAATTCTTGAGGTGACAACGTTTCCGTCACCGTGTTCTCCACTAATTTCGTTTTCAAATTGACTTTGGTCTGAAAGTTTTCTTTCCCGGATTCTTCTTGCAAGTACGTCGTGTAATACGTAAAAGCGGTGAGGTACGTTTTCGTGGCGACGATGTTAAACGGAAAACTCGTCGGATCAATAGGCTTTTCCGTTTTTTTTATCTCTTGTGAAAATTTCGAATCCGTTTTTTTGGGTTTTATGTAATATTTTTCCACGGTGACATCCGAACTCACGCTGACGTCACTTTTCACTTTCGTCTTATCACCGTCTACGTAAGTACTGAAATAAGTATAGGTCACGAAATAAGTTTTCGTAATGTTTTTAGTCGTTGGCAAATTCGTCGTCGCTTTCTTAACCGGTTTGTTTGTGACGATGATTTGTGTGAGGACATCGGTCGTACTCATCGTCTGTACATCCGTACCATCCGTCAAGGTTTTCGTCAGTTCGACCGTTTTCAAATACGTGTTCGTTGTCGGAAACGTTTCGGACGGTTCTAAATTCATGTGATAGTCGTAAGCACCGCCTACGATCGTGTTGTACACGTTATGCGTGGCCGACACCACCAAGGGTTGATCTTCGTCGAAAAATTTATTTATGTACGTGTATTCGGTATTGTAAACTTCCGTTTCCAACGTCGGACTCGTATTTGCCGACAGTGATATTGTTTTTGTCGGTGCGATTTCTTCACCCTGGCTCTCGCCACCGTTCGGTTTGATTTTATAATTTGTCACGGTCGTTTTACCGTTCGATACGTTCGTGCTAGAATTTTTGACCGTCGTCGTTTTGTAATTGAAAACCGTGTAATATGTGTCGGTTACGAAAGAAGGATTGAGGAGAGACATGATGCTGTTGTGATCCTGTAAAGGAAAACAAAAAAAAAAAAAAGAAAATGAGTAAATAATAGTAAAAAGAATTTACTTTCCGAAAAAGAAAAATTAAACTTACTTCATTGACTTGTTCAGAAGAAAGTACCATCGACATGAGATTTGATAAAGTGTGTGGTGCCAAAGTTATGGGTCTCGTTACCGTGCTTGATAAAAGTCTTAAATATTCGGGTTCCAAAGCAGGTCTCGATTTTTTATCTGTTGCCACGATGACTTCGACTCCGTTGCTCATGACTTTGGTCGCTAAATTATAACGCAAATCCGAATGTACGGCATCGAAACTCCTACCGAATTTTTTGTTGTTAACAATACTTTCTGAATTTTTAAAATAAAACATTAAATCATTATTATCTCTTTCACATAAATAAATAAATAAATAACAATAATAATAAAACGTATAAAATAAAATAAAAAACGGAAATATTTAAAAGAAAAAAAAAAAAGAAAAAAAAAAGAAAAAAAAAGAAAAAACGAATCGATAATTTTTATTTTATTTATTTAAATTGGCGGCCGAAAGGGTTTTTTATTATTATTATTATTATCATCACTATTATTATTATTATTAATTGCATAATTATTGAATTGTTTTCAATTTTTTTTTTCACGTCGGCTAACTAATTATTTGGTATCGCAGGTTAATAAATAATTCATTCTCATACTTTAAAAAGAATTTTTTTTTTGAATAGTGAAACCCCCTCCCTCTCTCCGCCCCCTCTCTCTCTCTCCGCCCCCCGAAAATAAGGAAAAACAAAAAAATTAAGTAACATAATAATACTCAATAAGAATTGTTTCCGCGTTAATATTATGTCACGATCGTAAAACAAAACAAAAAAAAAAACCCAAAAAGGTTATGAACTTTTTTTTTTTTTTTTTTTTTAAAAAGAAAACAATCGTCGTTTCTTAAAGGAAAAAAAAAAATTAAGTAATAAAAAGGTTTAGAAAATGACCGAAGAAAATTTTTTTCGAGAAAAACCCAATAATAATAATAATAATAATATTAAGTAATTCGCGATAATTATTTATTACGTATTTTTCTTACGTACGTTAAAAAAAAAACAATTTTTTTCAAGTAATTTTTTTATTATTATTACCGCTAAAAAAAATAAATAATTAGTCGTATACATTATTTTAAATAAACAATTAATAACAAATAATTATGCAATCTAATAATAATAATAATAATAATGATGAGAAAAAACAGTGAAATTTTTAAAACAAAAAAAAAAAACGATTTCGGAATAATCGTAGAGTTTTCCAAAATGGCGAAACGAGTATGGCGTTTGATGACGTCACGTTAAAACGTTCACAAGTTTAACGAAGGCGGTGGAATCGATGATTTCATTGATTTTATTTTTACCGTTAACTTAACGTAAACAAACCGGGGGGAGGAGACGAACCGGAAAAAACCCGCGAAAACCGTTTTTTCTTCGTTTTTTCTTTTTTTTTTTTTTTTTTTAATTAATCTGTTTAAAAAAAAAATAAAAAAAATTAATTAAAAGATAGAAAAGAGAAGTAAATATGAACCAAACTCACCCCAATAAAAATTTTTTAGAAAATTAGAAATCAAGTCTGCTGTTGAAGGATAAAAACAGCGTGGTGGTGGTGGTTGAAGTGTCAAGTTTAAGCAGATAATTTAAAAAAAAAATTTTTTTTTTTTTTTTCTTCTCGGCTTCATTTTTCCCGTTATAATAATAATGATAAACATTATCATTATCATTATTTTTTTTTAAAGGTTTTTTGTTTACTTATTAAATAGAATAAAAAATTAAAAATAAAAAAAAACTTTAAATATATTTATTTATATATATATAATTTATATTAATAATAAAATAAGTTTGGTTTTTTTTTTAAGTGGGGAGGGGAGGGAAAAGGAGAGGGAGGGGTAACCATATACATATACATATATATATATAATTATTATTATTATTAAAAGTTACCGTCCGACATTTTATTTTTTTTTTCATTCATTCATACACTTAATGTAATTTTTACAAATTGGATTGGTTAAAAAAAAAAAAAAAAATTTAATCTATAGAGTTCACTATATACAAATAATAATAATAATAATATTAATAATAATAATAATAATTAGTCGTATTAAATTATGTATCGGTTTCTATTGAGTCTCGTCTGTTTTGTTTGTCCGTTTGTAATAATGTTTAACGTAAAAAAAATTTTTTTTTTTTTTTAATAAAAAAAAATCAATAAATCAATGACGTCAATAATTATCGATCAGGGATTTGGATTGAAATGATTTTGCACTGGTTTTTTTCTTATTGTAATTGTTCAGAGTCGGTTTGACGATTGTTTTTGTTGATTTGGCTGTTTTTAAACTGTTCGTCACGTGTTTGCTCACATCACCCAAAACACTTTCTAAACTTTGAGTCTCTAAATTGATATCCTTGCTCGGAACGGGTACGTGTACCTCGGATGCTGCCGGCGATACGTAATAATCTAAATAAGTTTTCTCATTTGGATGTGACGCGTCTTCGTCAAGGGTCATCAAAGCTATCGATGATAAGACTTTCATTTGTTTCGCTTCGGATGGTTTTATGAAAAATTTTTCAACGTCGTACAATGGAGCTTCTCTTTTTCGAACTATGACGGATGTTTCACCGCTCGTGACCGTTGATAATATGGTGCTGAATTCTCCGGGTTTCCTACCCGAAACGTAGAGCGTTATGATTTCTCTCGCCGGTTCCGGTTCTAATCTTTTTTTATCACTTTTTTTACGACTTTTGGATTTGTGTGAGACTTTAACGTTTTCCGTTCCCTCGACGGTTCTTTCTTCGAGTTCTCTTTCCAAGTGAATGTCGTTGTCTCTTCCCAATTTTAATCTGTCGTCCGTCACGGGTTCCAATTTGAAATCTTGGGGTTGTAATGCGTCGTATTTAAATTGTTCTATTCCGAGAGGAGGAGTGAAGGGTAATTGAGTGAAAGCCGGAATCGGGAGTTGAGGCGGAGGTACGGGTTGGTTGGGGTTTAACAGCTGAGCTTGTAGAAGTGCTGGCAATAGCAAAGAATTTATTTGCTGATTGGGGCTGAACGTTGGCGTTACGACGATGGTGTCGGTGATGTATTCAGTGGCTGTTATCACGTTAACCGTATCCTCTACGATTGTCGTTAATATTTCCTTTCCTCTGAACGTGATTGGTAATACTGTAGAAATGTGATCCGTAACGGATGTTACATAGCTCGTTGTTCTCACTTTGTATTCGGTGGTCGGCGTTAAGGGTGCCGGCGGTTGAGGGATGCCCAATGGTTGATTCTGCGGCAAATTAATGTTGCCGAGTAACAATTGAGATAATAAAATATTTGCTAAAGGCGCGTTTGCTGCTATTTGCGGTTGAATGCTTGTTACAATGTTTTCTATATCGTAAACGGTGCTCGGTACGATGTGCGAAAAACTTGTTTTTCGTCCTCTAATTGTCGTGGGAGTGAAAACAACGCTCGTGGTAGGCGTTTCATGTACTAAAAATTTTGTAATTTCAGTTATTCCGTTGTTTAAAGTTTCGGTTATTTCGCGGTTTAAGTACAAAACGGTACCGCCATTAGTGCTACTTATGGTATATTGATGAGGTCCTAATACTTCAAGACTTGGTTTTGCTGTAATTACATTCCGGTATTCGGTAACTTTACCATTAACGACCGGAATCGTTACTTCCGAGGGAATTTTATGCGTGACTGTTATGGTTCCATCGAAAACAGGAGGTTGATAAGTGAAAGTATCATCTGTTTCTCCGAATCGTGCTCTAGGCCTGGTCGTGCTCACTTTGTTTCTATTGTTAGAGTATCCTCTTCTTTGATTATTTCTGGTCAAGTCATTGAGTGCTTGATTTTGATGTTGAGGTCTATTTCTGCTACTTGATTTTCTTCTAGGAGATTCACTTTCCTTGTGAGTGTTGCTACTACTCTTTCGACGAGGAGCAGAAGTTTGTCCTCTTCTGAAATTAGTGGTTTTCGGACTCGAGTTTGTGTCTTTCTCTCTGAGAGTAAACTGTGGTCGTTGAGAGTTTTGCGACGTAGCCGATGTTGGCCTTATTCTCGATTGTGGTGGAGGACTCGAAGTCTGAGCCTGATGATTTTGAGGTCTGTTTCTGGAATACACTCTTCCGTTACCATTTTTAAGAGTTTTTGGCAATTCCGATGAAACCGGTTCATCATCGTAATAGTCTATGCGTTCTTGAGCTTGAACTGGTGCTGCTGCTTTGGCTTTAGGACGACGGTATCTCGGTGACAACGATGAGTCAGAACTCTGTTTGTTTCTAGATCCGTAATCCGCTTGTCTTTTTGACCGTCTTTGAAAATTAAATGGCCTGATTTGTACCGGATTGAAACCTCTTCCTCTTCCGACCTTTTCAATTTTTTTCGGTTCCGGTTCTATTTCCACTTCTTTCGTATAAGATTCATCAAAGTTGTTGTCTTCGTCTTCAATGTTATCTTCGTCGTCGTCATCGAAAAATTCCTCTTCTTCTTTTTCTACTTCTTGAGGAGTGGGCTTTTTAAATAAACCTCTCGGAGGAAATAAATTATTTCCTGTCCTGGAACGTCCCGGTAAATTATTACGTCCAATATTTACTGGAGTTCTGCTGGCTCCGCGAGGTGTCGTATTTATATTCGACACTCTGTTATTCCTACCACTTAATATTCCTCTTTTTGGAGCCTGAGTTGTGGCAGGTTTAGGTGTGGTAGTCGATGTTTGCACTTTGGGCAATAAAGGCCTCCTGAATCTAAGAAGTGGATTATTATTGCGACGGGCTAAATTAGGATCTTCGGTTGTTGTCGTCGGTACAGTAGTTCCTGGAATGTCTTCTTCAGATGTAAAAGCTCCTTCATCATCTTCACTGACAATCGTCGTCAAATCATTTACCTTATCATTCGGTGGATTGTTTAAAACTGTTTGACCTCCGATTCCTCTGTTTAAACCAGATAATGTCGGTCTCACTCGAGGTCGACCGATTCCCAAACTACTTCTCGCAGCTGCTGCATCAAAATTAAAGGCAGCTCTGCTAGTGCTTCCTTTGTAATTAGCGCGACTTCTACCACCGTTCACATTTAATGTCGGCGTAGCACTTACTCTAGCTGACGATCCTCTACCGCGGGAAGGCGAATAAGAAGAAGAGGAAATGGTCGGAGAGGAGTAAGCAAATGTACTTCTGTTTCTACCAAATTTTCTGCTACTACTCGCCGTCGGTTTCACATCAGAACTTAGATTTTGATAAGAGCTTTTTCTGTTGCCGCCAAATCTATTACCTCTGGTTCCCTCACTTTTTGTAGCTAGCGTCGCCGTAATTGTCGGCGTGAAGTTTGCACGCGTAATAGTTTGAGCTCCCGTAGAGCCTAAAGTTTTCTTTTTCGGTAAAAATGTCGGTCTATTTCTGCTAGCAAATGGCCTGATAACAGGCGTGAAGGTTCTCTTTTTAGACTGGAACGTCAAACGCGATTTGTGTCTTCCCTTATCTTTTTCATCTCCTTCTTCTTCACTATCGCCCTCACCATTTTCACCTTCTTCTTGTTCTTCTTCGGACGTTTTAATTTCATCCGTAATAGATCCCTCGATAACTGCAGGCGAAGGTGACGTCAACTCAACAGTCGGCGTTTGCGTCACTTCGGAATCTATCGTCACAGAAGGAGCAATGCTTGGTTCAATTTTATAACTCGATGAACTTTCTATTATTTGAGCATACCTGCCTTCGATTACGGTACCTATGACTCTGGATTCGTACAAAGTTGTAGTACCGTCTTGAACTATGCTACCTTCAATAAGACGCACGAGTCCGGTTTTAAATTCATTTTCGTCTTGACTTTCCGTGTGCAAACTGGCTAAAGCTGATTTTTTATCATTATCAACGTAAACTGACGTCGTGCTTTCGACCACTTGAGCATAAAGTTCGTCGATGGAAGTTCCTATCGCTTTGGTTGTAAAAAATGTTGTGCTAATTCCATCAGCATCCACGATTTTTCCTTCGTTAATAGATACAATACCCGTTTTTTGTACTGCAGAGGAAGAAGAAGAAGAAGGTGAAGAAGAAGATGCTATGGTAGAAGACACTTCCGCTTCTGAAATAACCTTTGTTGTACTCTCTAAAACTTTTGCATAGAGTCCGTCAATAAAAGTACCGAAAATATCTGTCGAGTAAAGGGTTGTTTTTCCATCTTCAATCAAACTAGATACTTCGGTCGATAGTAGTCCCGTTTGAAAAGCATTAACTGAATTTTCACCGCTGCTACTTTTTTCCGAAATTTTAGAAATTGCGTTAGCAGACCCCAAGTTTATGGCTCTGCCGGTTTGCAGATCATTTACCAATATATCCGATATTGTCGGAGTTGGAATGACCACGTTGGTAACAGTTTCCAATCGACTTTTTAGCACGGTGCTATCATCCACGTAATTCGTTGTAAAATAAGTATACGTGGTAAAATAAGTCGTAGGTTCTATTTTACCGAAAAGACCTTCTTTGCTAATCAAAACATCAGTTAAGTTGTCTGTGGGTTTTACGCTCGAATCTGCAGCAGCAGTTTCCGTGCTTACGGTTTCTGTGACGACATCGGATGTTATTGTCACGGGAATGATATCCGGAATAATGGTACTCGAAAATAAATTAGAAATTAAAGACGGAGTCGTTTGACCGATGTCGACGGATGCTGTTGTTTCTGCCGTTGAAGTCGATGAAGGTATAATGGTAGGCGTGACCACGTTCGAAACGGTTTCTTCTCTGCTGGTAATTATGGTATTTCCTTCTTTATAAAGTGTAGTCCAATAGGTGAAAGTCGTAAAATACGTTATCGGAAGCGTAGAATCTTCTGGACTCAAATCTGATGTGGGTGCCAGTTCTGGTTTCACAGTTTCCGTGACGATGTTTGTTACAGTTTCTAATCTGCTTATGACATCCGAAGAACTCGTGCCTTTGTAAACGGTGGTGAAATACGTGAACGTTGTGAAAGACGTTTGTAAAACTATCGTCGGAGACGGTTCAATTTCGTCAGTGTTTGTTTCCGAACTGATTTGATCGTCGTAAAATACTTCTCCTATTCTTTCAATGGGTTCCGGTGGCGCTATGCGAATTTGTCTGCTGCCTTTGGAACTACTGCTCTTAACATCGGTTACCATTGTTTCAACGGAAATTTTTTCTTCTTCGACGGGAGTCGGATCCAATCTAATTGTGGTCACACCCAAGTTTTCATCTACTTCGGTTGCTTTAACGAGAACTTTGGGTTTGGCTCTGACACGTTTCCGAATGACGGTTCTATCTTTTTTGTCTCCTTTTAATATTAATCGAGTCACGGAATTATCTTCTTCGCTATCCGTTACTTCCGTTTCTTCGGTACCTTTATCGTTTCCTGAATCTTTGTATTTTTTAGTGGAAAAAACTCCGTATTTATCTTTTAGCGATGCTGTAGGTTTGATTGAAAATTTTGGAAAATAGGATCCCTTTGATGATTGACTCAACCGACTAAAATCGGACTGAAGTTTTGATTGTAGGGTCGATGATGCTTGAATCGAAGATCCGGAAAATCTTTGAGAGCTTGAATTGAGTCGATTACTCGAATAAAGGGAAGAACCTTTATTACCTGATTTCGATATTAACGAAGATGGCGACGAAGAAGAAGATGAAGATGAAGAAGAAGGTAAATCACTAGTTTTGCCACTTTCTCTTTGACTTTGTTGTTGTCTTAACAACATTTCAAATTTTGATTTAAACAAAGCTTCATTTTCTAAAATCGACGATGGAAGTACGGAAACGGAATTGGCTCCAACAACATTTGTAACAACTTCCGTATTGGTTTGCACTTCGGTGGAGTCATCTTCGTCAACTAGAGTGGTGTAATACGTGTAAGTGGTGTAAAGTGTTTTCAAACCGCTGATGTCTAACGCTGGCGTTGCCGTCACTTCTTTTTCCGGTATTTCTTTCAACGAAGAAGTTACGGAAGATTTGTCATCTTCGTTCTCATCATTTCCATCATCATCGTCATCATCTTCATCGTCGTCGAAAAATTTTGTTTCGGCACCACCGAGTATAACACCACTGGGACTTATTTCGCCTTCTGCAATATTTTTTGGCAATTCTGTGGGTTTGACTTCTTCGTCAGACACGGGAGTGCTTTTGGGTACCGGTTTAGACGAAAGTTCCGACGTGGCATCTAATGTCGACGTAATAATATTTGTAACTACGACTTCGCTCGAAGAAATACTCGTCGACTCGTCGAAAAAGGTGGTCAAATAAGTGTATGTCGTAAACAATGTTTTAAAAATGACTTCGACTTCTTCATCATCGCTCTCATCATCGTCTTTGGTCGCGGTTTCAGAATCTTCGGATTTTTCTGGTTTTTCCTTTTCCTCTTCTTCTTCTCCTTCTCCTTCTTCTTCTTCTGCTTTCGGTTCTTCGGTAGTTGTTGTTTTTATTTCTTCTACATTATCGGTAACTGTTGTTAACGAGGGAGTTTCTTGCAATGTTAATGGAGTAGTAGTGTCTGGTAATGTTACTTCAGTATTCGTGCTTTCCGTTTCATCTGCATTACCGGCCGTAACAAAAGTTGATTGTGGTGTTTCTTCGGTTACCAAAACTTTTTCGGTAGTAGTGGTAGTAGTTGTAGTTGTTGTAGTCGTCGTTGCTGTTGTTTCATTTTCTTTATTGTTGTCTGTTTCTTCGGTAACAGGAATTACGTCCGGGGTTGAAAGTTTAGCATCGGGTAATTGAAATTCATCATCCATGTCATCGCTATCCAGTTCATTGGCATGTGTAGAAATGGAAGTTGTGGGATAAATTTCTTGTGAAACTGCATTCGGATCAATTATTTTTGTTACTAAACTAACTTCTGACGTAACAACTTCTCTAGATCGAATAGATGTTGTCGTAGTTTCATCCGTCGGAATAAAAAATGTTGTTAAGTAAGTAAACGTTTTATAGACCGTAGTTGGTACCAAACTAGTGACGAGGCCTTCGGTTTTCGTTTGAGAAACATCAACGTTATCTTTTTCCGTTTGTGTAATTTCGGTTTCGTCAAGGGTATCCTTATTTTTAATATCTTCGCTCTCCGATTTTACTTCTTTGTCATCGCCTTTAACAATTTTTATACCATCGTCATCATCATCATCATCATCATCATCATCATCCTTTTCAGGTTGTTTTACTTCTTCTTCATCATCATCATCGTCGTCTTTTTCGGATTTTATAATACCTTCTTCCGTTTTATTTTCTTCGGTAACATATTCAGTTGTTGTTCCCAATCGAATCTTTTCATCGACGTCGTCGTCGTCCTCGTCGTCGTCAGGATCGGATGTTTCGAGCAATTCATCTTCTCCGTCAACGGTTACCGGAGTTGTAACAACACCGGATAAGGTAACATCCGTCGTCGAAGGATTTTCAACTTCGACTACTACTTTCGTATCTGGTGAATCGGTATTTGATTGATCGATAACCACGGTGGCCGTTATACTGTCGGGAGTTTCAACCAAATAATAAATATTGGATGACGTTTTAAGTATCTGAGCGTAGCTTCCGTCGATAAAAGTACCGTAAATCATGCTGGCGAAGTGAGTGGTCGTACCATTGTACGCTTTTGTTCCTCCGATCGATTTCAACAAGCCCAAAGGTTTATCGCTACCACCGGTGTTAAAAGTTCTCGTTACGGTTGTTGCAAACGTCGCTAAAGGTTCCGTGACTTGAGAAGTTCTAGAAATCGAAGAATAAGACATAGTTTCGGACGGTTCCAAAAGTACTTCGGAAGGTTCTAAAATGGTCGTGACAAAACCGGGATTTCCAAATTTAATTTGTTCTTTCGCTAAAGCCGACGATACATATTCCAAACCTTCTCCGAACCCTTTGTTTTCACCTTTGTCCAGGCCCACCGGGGACGGTACAGTTGTTTGAAGATTAACATCGTGTTCGATGATGGTTTTAGTAACGGTTATCGGATTTTCCGACACGAGAGTTTTCACGACGGTTTCATCTTGTCCGCTTTTAGATCGTGCACTTTCAATTTTAGTCACGGTGACTTCTTTAACTTTATCATCTCCCGATCTCGTGCTCGGCATAAAAACAATAACAGTATTGCCAACCGTTGTTACAAAATCAGCAAAACCCATGTATGTGACGGTGTCGAATTTTTTTTCAACGGGTTTACTAACAAAACTTTTACCGGATCTCAATTTTGTTTTTTCCGGTTTGAAAATTTTTTCTTCTTTTTTTTCTTCCGTCACGACGCTGAATCCGCTCGGTGCAAAATCGTGACGAATGGTGACGGTCGGAAGATCATTGGAAAAAACTTTTGTCGGTTTTATTTCGTACTGACCGTTGTTTTTGTTAAACAAGTTAATCCTTTCTTGTTTTATGACGTTTTCGATAACTTCACCGCTTTCTTCATTTTTTCCCGCACGGTGTCCGGAGTCGCCGCTTTGAAATATGATAACCTCTTTGTTACCGCCGTCGCCGCTGCCGCCACCGCCACCACCACCAACACCAAAACCACCGCCTTCTTTTTTCGATTTCGAATCGCGATAATTAGCACCGCCGTTTTCGAATGAGATTTCAAAATTTTCCGTTTTGATTAGATTTTCGGGATTGGATTCTTTGCTCGCGTATATAAAATAAGGTTCAGTGGGTTGAAAATTTTGAAAAATGGAGGATTGTATGTAATTATCGACATTGTGTGGAAAACCTAAATAACGACTCTTGTAATAAACTCTATCGTCGGATTTGGTTTTAATCGTGTTCGTTTTCTCATGACTTCCGTAATATATTTTCGAACTAGTTTGTAACAATTGAGCATAATATTTTCCATGATCTAACGTGGTACCGATGACTTGAGTTCCGTACTCCGTTGTTGTGCCATCGTGTACAAACGTTCGAGCCGTGGATGTGAGAACGCCAGAAGGTCTCGCAGATCTTCCGCTTCTAGTATCATCATCATTGTCGATCAGTAACAGCGTTGTAAAGCCTTTGTTTGTCAATTAGTGAATTGTGTGAGACAGCGGAAAGAAGATTAACATAAAAACAAAAGATAAAAAAAAAAAAAAAAAAAAAAAAAAAACCTGTTACCAACATTAAAAAAAAAAAAAAAAATGAAAAAGCAAGCAGGAACATTTTTCTTGATAAAAAAATGCTCGTGCGAATTTTGCGCTAATTTTTTATATTTACAAAATTATACAAAAAAAATTTTTTTTTATTTTGTTACTGACATTTTTAAATGATCGTGTCAATAGAAAACAAAACAAAAAAATACGATAGTAATAATAATAATAATAATAATAAATATTATTTTACAGAAAAAAAAAAATTTAAGTCGAATTAGCAAAAAATTTTACGTAAAATGTTTTTCGTTTTCTTTTTTCTTTTCTTTTTTTTTGTTAAGTAAAAAAAATTAATTACGTAATTTTTATTACCGTTTATAATTTTTTTTATTTAATTAATTACGTAATAAGAAGAAGAGAATATTACTGCCATTGACTTTAAGAAAAAAAAAAAAAGAAAACTTTTTTCTGAATAAAAATGACGTGGAGTTTACTACGCAATTCAAAAATTTGTGTAATTTTAAATGACGATAAAATTTATTATCATGAAAATACCCCCCCAAAATAATTATTATTTTTATTATTATTATTATTATTATTATTACTGTCGTATGTGCGCGTGTGTGCATATATACATGTAAAAATCAAAGAAATTGATGTTAAGAAATTGTGTGCGTGTAATTAAAAAAAAAAAAAAAAACAATCACAATCGGTTAACGAATAATTCATTTATTTCTATCATCATCATCATCATCATCATCATCATCATCATTATTATTATTATTATTATTATTTTTTTTTTTTTTAACGATTTCCGATCGATTATCGATTGGTGCCTTATCCGAAAAAAAGGGTTTATTCGATCATTTTCCATTTCAAATGGAAAGTAACCGGAAATACTCAAGTTGAAAAAAAATTTTCCCGTCGAATCGATCGAGTAATTAATTAATTTCCCTCGAAAAAAAAAACAAAATGGCGACCGAGTATTTATTGTTAAACGTAATGTAAATTTGCGACGGTGACGATGATAAATTCGTCTGCTTTGTTTTTTTTTTTCTTTTGGGGTCGTAGAGTTCGCGGATAGGGAAAAAATTACAAATTGGTTAATAATACTCGTAACATAGTTTTATGACTGGGAACACATTTCAATTAACAAACAAACAACTTTTATCATTATTATTATTATTATTTAAAATTATTTGCATTTAATTTGATTGTTAAAAAAAGAAAAATGAGGAAGGGAATAATAATGTTTTAAATAATCGGTGGTGGTAACTCCAGGGGAGGGAAGGGTGAGGGGAAAGGAGGAAAAAAAAATTTCGTGGCGATAGAAACAAAAGAGAGAGAGAGAAAGAATAATATAATAATAATAATAATAATAATGAAGAAACATTGAAACCCCAACAAACAATGAACGAGAGAAACAAAGGGAATTTTAAAAAAATTTGGAACGTGGAAAATGGCGCGAATGCGACGCATTTTTACGCATTTGTACGCATGCGTAAACATACGCGTTACGTATAAATGAACCCTTTTTCCTTTTATTAATTAATTAATTAATTATTAAAATTTAAAAACTTTCTTTTTTTATTTAAATTAAAATATTTTCGATTACGATGACGTTGAAGACGACGACGATGACGTGGATGCTGCGCAATAATAATAATAATAATTTGAATTTAAATTTATAAATGATTCAAATATAAAAATTTAATTGCGCTTTAATTTACGAAAAACGGTAAAAATAAAAAAACCTTGACGAATCGAAGGTCAGACGATAATAATTATCGGTACACATAATAATAATAATATTTTAATTTTACGGTAACGAGTGGGGGGAAAAAAGATGGCGGCCATTGTAAAAAAAAAAAAAAAACGGGAGCAAAAAATTCTAATTTAATTAAAATAATTTTCGATCGCGTATGCGTGTGTGATAAATCAATTTTAAATTAATATTATTATCAATAACTAAAAAGATGATGATGATAATTTTTATTCGAATCGGGGGGTTAAAATCGTCTACTTCCCCGATAAAAAAAAGTAAATACTTTTACAGTTATTTTGTAAAAAGTAGTGTAAAGAATTTTTTTTTAATTTCGGAGAAGATTTTGTTTTCCTTTCTTTTTTTTTTGGAGGTTGACAATGAAAAAAAAAAAAAAAAAGTGTCAGAAGAAGAAGAAAAAAAAAATTTAATTGACGTATCGTGACACGAAATCTAATAAATTAATATAATAATAAACGCATCGCGTCGTCGTCGTCGTCGTGACCTCAAAAAAAAAAAAAAACGAATTCAATGAATTCATATTTATATTTGTCGTCGTTTGCGTTCGCACGTCATTTATTTTTAACGAATTAGAAAAAAATGATTTTTAAATAAAGGTTAACAACCTTTTAGGTTTTACAACCCAAATCGAAAAGAAAAAAAACGTTTTTTTTTCCTACAAATAATAATAATAATAATAATGATAATGATGATAAATTTTAAAATGTCGTAAATCCATGTGAAAAAAAAAAATTTTTGTAATTAATATCAAAGCTTAGTTTAAAGTTCACATGAATTTTTCAACAAATTGCAAAACATTATCGTCGTCGTCTGCTTCTACATCTCGTCATCGTCTGCTATTCACATTGTCGTCTGCTATTCACGTCGTCGTCTGCTTCGATTAAAAAAAAAAAAAAAAAAAAAATTATTTATCCAACACGCAAAAGTTATCGTCGGTATTCACATTTGGTTTTCTTTTATTTATCGACAAACTTTTCTCTCTCTCTCTCTATGTAATTAACGATCAATTAGGTTTTCTGCTTGTTTGTTTGTTTGTTGTTAAAATTGCAACAAACGATGTGTTATAATTTTAATGTGTTTGTTTCACGATTACGTCAGTAATAAAAATTAATTGTTTTCGAATGTTTTTCGCGTTGGCGAAATGTTTTAGCATGAAACATTTAAAAACGTCGAATTTTTTTTCCTTCGGTTGTTGAGAATTTTTTTTTTGGTTGTTGTTTTGTGTGTTTGTTCGTTTGCTTGCTGTGATGACGTCATTTAAAAAAATTTTTTTTTTCTTTTTTTGTTAAAGTTTCGTACAAACGTGTTTTTTGTGATTAATAATATTCATTTTTACGGTGCGATGATCGATTATTTAACAACGGGAAAACAAACAACAAACAAAAATAACTCTGTCTCTCTCTCTCTCTCATTTTATTTCCTTATTTGCTATTAAAATTTATTATTATTATTATTTTTAATTTCTTTGTTTTAAAAACCGAATAAATTATTTAAAAAATGGTAATAAAAATTAATTAAAAATTTTATTTATAATTAACGTGACTCGTACAGTAAATAACATCATGAGATTTGTTTTCACGCATGATTGATTTAATAATAATGATAATACTAATAATAATGATAATAAAATTTACCTGGATTCGTGTTAAACAACAAACGGGGATAACCGTTCCGTTGTAGTTGTTGTTGCTGTTATTAATCATTTATACGTTTTTAATTTTTTTTTTTTTTTTTTAGACCTCGAATCATCTTCTAATTAAAAATTTAAAAATGTTTTTTTTGTAAAGGGAAAAGTAAATAGGATCCCGCGGGAGGGGTAAAGGGAGAAGGGGAAAAGAATAATTAGTAAAACTTGATTTTCCATGACCTTATTTGACCTCATTTTTTTTTTTTAGAAAGATTTTTCTCGTGTAAAAATTGATCATTCAATTATAAGTTTTAATAAATAGGATCTGGATAATCGTTTGTTGTTCATCCTGGAATTTTTTTTTTCGTTTTCCAGGATTTTTTTTTTTTTTGCTCCGAACCGGATTTTTCTCACGGCTCTGGAATTTTTTTTTTTATATTTCTGTTTGAGCTTTAGTAGCAATGATAAAGATGATGATGATGATTTGTATTTTAATTCGATTCTTAAATTTCCACGATTTATTTTTTGGAAAATTTTTTTTAAAAAAATTTTTCTCTGGAATATTCTGGAAAATTCTGGAAAATTCATTGGAGTCATTTTCTTTTTTTTTAAAGTTTTATAAGTTTCTTAGAAGTATGATTGTTTGTTTGTTCGATTTTTACTGTAAATTTTTGATTAATTATACTAAATTTTCAAGGTGAAAACAGTTAAAAAAAAAAAAAAGGAAAAAGGAAAATTTTCGTATGAAATTTCGAATTGGAGAGGGGAAGGGAGAGGAGGGTGGAGGCAGAGGGAGGGAGGAAGGAAATTTAAAGGGGTTATTAATAAATTTGGCAACGAAAAAAAAAAAAAAAATTAATTTTTTTATAGCGCTTTATTTATGTAATTGCTAAACGTGAACGCGCGCGTTCCTTCGAGAATTTATAGCTTTACTATTATTATTATTATTATTATTAGTTATTTTATTATTATTATTATTATTTTATTTTTAGTTATTTTAATCACCGTGTTATTTTATTTATTATCATTATCATCATTATTACGTGGAGTAAGCGTTAAAAAAAAAAAAAAATAAAATAAAGAAATTTTCCGGTAAATTTAAATTTTTTTCTTTCTCATCGTAAAAAAATTTTTTCCAAGAGATTTACGCAATCTCAATTTAAATAATAATAATAATAATAATAATAATAATAAATTTTTCTTCTGCTTTTTTCTTTTCTGTCATTTTCTTTTTTCGTTATTTATAATTTACAGTTAATTGTAATTAAAAAATTTGCCATTTGCAATTTTTTTTTTTTTTTTTTCGTTACTTTACTAATTAGTAGTCATTCATTTGAGTTAATCGAACCAAATTTGGGATGAGGAGATTTTTTTTTTTTTTTATTTATTTCTCAATGTACAGTTTGAAAATTAAAATTAAATAATAATAATAATAATTTTTTATAGCGCTATAAGAGGATTTGATTCTTAAGTTAATGAAATATCATCAATTTTGGAAACTAACTTTTTTTAGACGTTATTATTTACGTCTTTATTATTAATATAGAGCTTCTCGTTTCTTTTTTTTCCCGCCTTTTTTTTTTTTTTTTTTTTTTTTTTTTACTTTTTAACGGTGTTTCCGTTTTTGTTTAACTTCCTGTTTTTTTTGCCATTTAAAAATTTAAAAGTCCGCATTTGCGTGTGCCACTTTTTTTTGATTTAAATAATTCGCCCCTCCTATCTTTTTTTTTTTTTTATTGTCATTCATACTTATTTTCTCTCTCTTTCTGTTTTCTACTTCCCTCCCTATCTCTCTCTCTTCCTCTTTTCTATCTCTCTCTTTCTCTGATCTCTTTTCCTGATCTCTGATCTCTTTTTTTTCTTCTACATTCCTTCTATGTTATATATCCTCTACCTGTTCTTTTAAAATTTTTTTTTTTTTTGTATTCCTCTTTATCTTTCTCGCTTTTCTACCTTCCTCTCTCTCTTTTCTATCTCTTTCTCTTTCCCTCTCTGATTTCTTTTTTTTTCCTCTGCCTTTCCTCTGTTTTATATTTTTTATTTGTTCTCAATGTATTTTTTTTGTCTTAATATTTTTCTCTCCCTTTTTTTCATTTCTTTCCCTTTCCTCTTTCTTCTCTTTCTTTTTCTCTAACTACCCTCTATCTGTTTCTTTTTTTTCCTCTTCCTCTCTCCCTCTCTCTCTTTTTCTGTTTCTCTTCTCTCCTTTTTTTCTGAATATTTTTCCTTCTCTCTTTCTCTTTCTGATTCTCTCTTTTTTCTCTTTATTTTTCTATCTTTTTCCCCCTCTCTTTTTTCTTTTTTTTTTTTTTTCTCTAT